CCAGTATAGCTCAATGGGTCGCCGAGGTACACAAACCGCCACACCACGATAAGGTCCAGTCTCTTCGTGACGGAGTCTCTTCGTGACCCGTTGTAACCCGTGTAACCCGTTGTGCTGTACTGAATGATGCTCATTCAACACCCCTGGACAATAGATAGAGGTCTGGCAAAAGGTTGGGAGGTTATAGGTTGGAACAGGTGTGCTAATTTGCTCCATAATATTTGGCTTACTCGAGTGGTCTCATTCCAAAAACCGCTACTTCGAGATTGAGCTTCTGAACCGAAGACTTCGCATGAGGACTCCAGTCTAGGTTAGGATGCCCCGATAATACCTCATCTGTACAATAATGAACCAGTATCTAGTCTGAATGTGCTCTTATGGGATCTTATCATGATTCCATGACACGTACTTTAACTATATCACGCTCAAGAATTTGTTTCAGTTTTCTAATGATCTGGTTTCGAATAACTAAATGAGCAGTCATACCATATTCGCAGTGTCAAGTCTCTTTCGTTTCGCCTCCTTTTTCAAGTTTTTAGCTACCTTGGGATCGGTTTCTGCTTTTTATCTGTTGTATGGTTTCTATCCCATTGTTTTTCCTGCTAGATATTCACCTACTTTATCCTCAAGACGCGCACATCAAAAAACGCTCTGATCTGTTGCACCATCATAGTTTTGGGCTATGGTTACGGGGTGAATATCGAAGGATCTCTTGGTAAGTGCAACTTTGCTAGCATCAGCCATCGTTTGACCCACTGGCTCAATGTTCATGTGGTCGCCCAAATTAACTGCTAATGACAAACTGTTAAACGGCTTAAAATCTCCGTCAGCTCGACTTTTTCCACCTGTTTTCAATTAAGCTGACTGATAACTCCTTGATCTATACGTGTTTTGAATTCTTATTTAGAATGATGGGGTGGTTGAAGCGGTGTTTCTTAGCAGAGAATTCCTCGAAGTATCTCCCGCTGGTGAATAGGAGGTACGTCAGTTTATCTGCTTATGAGTTGCATTGTGACTCACCAGTGGTCTGTTTTTTGAAAGTACTTCTTTTCTACCTCCTCACTTCAGCTGTTTCACTTTTTGCCGCCTTCCAGCGTCATATGTAATATTTAGAGAGACAGAAAAGGGCTTTGTACATAAGTGTCATCCTGCTAACTGCGGAACCATTGCTTATAGGAAACCGTGTGCAAGTGAACTTATTGATCGAACGGCATTGGTTTAAATAAAAAATTGTATACAACGTACCAATACTTATGAATTGTATATAAGGTATACATTTTGTGTATAAAATCAGACTGCCCTCACTCACTACCGACGTCTGCCTCTCGACTTCCCCTGTCTAGACCTGGGCAACCTAGCCAGCTCTCGTGCTTTCTTCGAGTAGCATGGCAGCTAGGCACCGTAAAGGTGGACGATTTTGTTTGTGTCTGGATCACTCATACTCGATTGTGACTATGGACTTGTATTGGGTAAAATGTGTTGCGTAAAAATACGAGTGACTTGGTTTGGGTACCAAAGACTCGAAGTTTTCGTTAACTTTTACCTCGATTTGGCTATTCTGTTTGAATTCGGCCGATTGACCGTCTTATGATATCTGCGTGTCCTAGGTCAATCATAATTAAATGTTCCACCGAGGGGCACCTGTCTTATCTCGTAAGTAATGGAGGCCGATTGCCAATTAGTAGATTCCTATGGAGGCCGAATCTGCATCCTTCAAGTGTTAACCCGAAATTCCGTTTTCTGGAACACCTGCACTGAGTGGTATTTTGTCACACTAAATTGCTCATTTTGGTATTCAATGCATGTCTACTGCGCACTCCCATGGATTGGTCGGTGAAACATGTCCCGTTTGTATTTCTCGTGTTTTNCTGCGTGGCTTGAAGTTCAGTTCGTGTTGCTGTTCAACCCCTTGAAAACACAGAGAGTTGGGTTAGTATCGAGTTGCTCAAAATAGACGTGAGCAATCGAAAAGTCAGGGGCGTACTTGTTCCACAGACTGCGTGGCTTGAAGTTCAATTGACTCCTATTTCGGATGGTTTTAGATTGCCTAAAATTGTCCAGTGTATCGGATTTTTAGAGCCCGCAATTATGACAGAGCGACTCCAAAGCTTCGAACATAGCATCTTCGAAGCACCACTTTTCATCTGTCACCGCGTGTTGGGATCGTTCCTTTTACCGTAACACAGAGACTGGACCCTCCTTCAGGGTACCTTGACTGCCATTGCTACATACTTCGAAATCACCCTTCAAACCCCGCCGAACAGTTTACCCGACATCTTTTAGCGTTTGCATTCTGTAACAAGCCAGACAACAATGCTTTTACATGTATGCTTGACTCACTTCCATATGAAACGTCCATATGAAACGAAAATCCAAGACCCAAGTACATCATCATCGTCGACAACATGACATCATTGACCAACACTGATGCTCCGGTGCCGTCTGCGAAAGCCTTATTGTGAAAAAAAGAGTAAAGGTAATCGGGGAGGGACTTAGCTCTAACATGCTACTATCATTCCGAATTGCCTACACCTCCAGACAGTCACTCGGGCAATCAGGATAGAAACCAACAACAAGAACACCACTGATATCGATTAGCAGCCATATTTTGCAATTTCTCCAACCAGATGCAGTGGAGATCACACAGTCCCCATCCTGGAAGGCGATTAGCACGGACAACATCGAAACTTCTCCTAATCTCCTTCATACCCGTCTCTCTGGCCAACGCTTAGTCACCTCCCTGGTTTTGTCACACTAAATTGGTCGGAGACATCGGAACGATTGGCAAACGATCGTTCGGCATATTCTGTACATGGCCTAACCAACTCAGCTTATGGTGCTGGGCATATGCTACGATGGAAGTCCCGGTTGAACAGCGGACTACTGGCTCTGTGTACGGGAGCTTCTGGGGAGTTCTCTGTTTACTCTCACACGTCCGGAATGAAAAGAACTTATGGTGCGCACAGACTTCCAGGGCATTCCTTGGTGGCCTCAGTGGTTAAAGCGCAAATTTACTGAGCAGAAGTTCCGTGGTTCGAACCCGACCTCTGCCTCTCCTCTTCCTTTGTCTAGGCCTGGGCAACCTGGCATATTCCAACCCTCGTGCTTCCTTCTGATGGCATGGCATTTAAGCACCGAAAGGGTGCCACAGCTGAACGATCCCTTGATGGGCAAGCGTATCAAGAAGAACAAACAGGTAAACCGGGTCGAATACGCCTTGGAAATCCAGGAATGTTAAAATTGTGGGTCGTTTTTACGTATGAAGTTGTTCTAGCACCTAACGGGGTGTGAAGTTTTGGTCAACGAAACCCCTACCAGGCGGGAATCCAGCTTTCTGCTCTCGAGCGTTCCACGAGCCACAATGAGTCGACGAAGGAGAAGTGACGCCAACAGTCTCGTTACGACCGTCGTCAAGCTGATCCTCTCCATTGTTTCCACACTCACTTCGAGCCCCTTTTTTTGAAAATGGGCACTATCACCGATTCTCCCCAGTTGTCTTGGACAGTCTCCTATTCCCAAATGCAGGTCAACAGATCAAACAGGTGCTGATTGAGGACTTCACCCCCATCTTTTAACAATGCGGGTGGGAGGTCACCCGGGCCAGGAGCTCGGTGGCGCTTGAGATAATATATGCAGTCATAAACGTCTGAGGCAGTAGAGGGCTCCAGGTTCAGTGGTCAGGGTTCTACTCCAGTTGTAGGATCCGGATAAGTGTGGCAGTTGGTGGCCACGATAACTGTCGTTCGGAGTGTTCATCCCAACGGCCAAGGCCTTACTTCTTATTCAAGATGGTCGCTCCATTCTGTTCCTTGATGATTTTGCACGGGGGTTTTCGGGAACTGGTCGCAATGATCAACTGAAATAAGCTCCGGGTATTCTTGGCCTTCCACCGGAATTCACGCTCATTTTCACGTGACCTCTGTTAATTCGTCGGGACAAGTTACGTTCGGGACCGGAGGACATATTCATCCGAGATTCAAGTAGTCCATATCAACCACCTTATTGAGTGTCAGATGCGCTAAGTCTGTCCACTTATGCCTTCAGATTTTCCCCAACCATTATACCTGAGCTTTAAGCTCGCCGCAGCAGGACATTCAAGACATCATAAAACATTTTTTGATGGTGTCAGAGCTACCGCCTTCTGGGGCGTAAGCAGACACAACAACCAGGCACTGGTCAACTTCCCCTTCGTGTGACTCCTTCACAGACGTTGCCAAACGAACCCCTTAGAGGTGACAATCAACGGATCAAAGGATCCTTCCGGTTAATTAGGATGATACCGGTGCCTGTCCATTCTGCCGCAGAAGCCTCTGAACTGCCAGAGGTGGGCAGCCGGAATCTAGTGGAGAGTGATAAGGCGGTTAGCTCCAGCACTTCTTATTTCTGAGACACAGCACACATCAATGCCAAGCGAGTCTAGTGTGAGAGGTTGCTTATCTGCTTGCTTCAGAGTACGGACATCGTAGGCGGCCAGATAGGTGACGTCCAGGCTCAAAGATTGAGTTCTAGACGGCTGAGGATGTCGGCATCGGAAGACGCGCCTTTTTTCGCCTGCGAAACCATTGCAGGACGAACTGAGTCATCAGTCCCAAGTGATGGACATACAAGTAGAGAGTTATTAATGGGGTGAGGGGAGAGGAGAAAAAGTAATTGAAAGCAGTAGCCTGTTTTCGCCTACCAGCTCTGCTGTATGCATCATGTAAGGCGACCCGGCTAATAGCACCACACGACAGCCAATGTAGCATGAGAGTATTGTTATTTCTAAGTGTCATGGTTGTGCGTGGGTTGGGATACTGCCAGGAGACGCAGTCATCATCATCATCGACAGCATGACAAAGTGTCATGGGCGTGGGTTGGGATACTGCCAGGAGACGCAGTCATCATCATCATCGACAGCATGACATCAGTGTTCAACACCGATGCTTCCTTCACGTACAACCATGATTTATTTGAAAGCCATATTGTAAAGAAAAGAGTAGACGTGGATGGGGGAGGGACTTAGTGCTAGCTTAACACAATCATTCCGAGGTTCCTACACCTCCAGACATTCACTCAGGCAATCTGGATCGAAACTGACAACAAGAACGCCATTGACATCCGTTGGTAGCCATATCTTGTAGTGTCTCCAACCAGGCACAGTGAGGATCACGCGGTTCCCATCCTGGAAGGCGAGTAGCACCGACAGCACCCAAGCGTTTCGTGATCTCCTTCATACTCCTCTGCCAAGTCAAGGGTTGGCCACCTCTCTGTTTACGCCACTCCGAACTGGGCATGGAAAACAGTACTCTCTTCGGCAAACGATGGTTCGGCATGCGTAAAACATGTCCCAACCAACGCAGCTTCTGGTGCTGGACACATTCTTCAATGGAAGTACCCGTTACACAACCGAAAACACGCTTTCTAACCGCCTCGTTACGGATTCGCTGACACCAACCCACACGAGCTATGGTTCTCAGACAACGATTGTCGAACACATGAAGACGTCTCAGGTCCGCTGCTCGAATAGGCCAAGTCTCACAGCCATACAACAAAACAGCCCGTACTGTAGCTTGATACACACGTCCCTTCAGATTCAGAGATAAACCATTCTGACGCCATAGGTGCCTCAA